GGGGGAGGCGGTCTAGGTGAGGGGGAGGCGGTCTGGGTGATCGGTTGTCTGGGCGCCATCTTTCATATGATGCCAGTGGGTGAGGGGAGGCGGTCTGGGCGCCATCATTCATAAGATGCCGGTGGGTGATGGGGAGGCGGTCTGGGTGAGGGGGAGGCGGTCTGGGGGAGGCGGTCTAGGTGAGGGGGAGGCGGTCTGGGTGATCGGTGGTCTGGGCGCCATCTTTCATATGATGCCAGTGGGTGAGGGGAGGCGGTCTGGGCGCCATCTTTCATATGATGCCAGTGGGTGAGGGGAGGCGGTCTGGGCGCCATCTTTCATATGATGCCGGTGGGTGAGGGGAGGCGGTCTGGGCGCCATCATTCATAAGATGCCGGTGGGTGATGGGGAGGCGGTCTGGGTGAGGGGGAGGCGGTCTGGGGGAGGCGGTCTAGGTGAGGGGGAGGCGGTCTGGGTGATCGGTGGTCTGGGGGGTTACACTCATGGCGGCCCTCCTCTTGCCTCTTGTGTTTTTCAGTATTTCGAGACGGATGACCCGGATTTCTTCCAGTCCAAGGTCCTCTATCTCCTCACTCATGACATCACAGATACAGATCTGGCGTTTGCAGAAGAGAAGTACGGGCGCGGCGGTCAGCTGGAAAAGGTCAGTGTCTGTTCACATACGTGTAGCGTGTTCAGTAGGATCATGTGATGGAGGCGTGGCCTGGTTGGACCTGTCTGGATCCCATGTGTTTGACCTTTTTTCAGGTGGTGGAGCTGATTCCTGGCGGAGATCACATCCCTGTCACCAATGAGAACAAGATCTATTATCTGAACCTTCTGGCCCAGCACCGCTTGTGCAACCAAGTCCGCGAGGAGGTGGAGCACTTCCTGAGAGGTGAGTGGGCGGAGTTAGGTGTGTGTGGGTGGAGCCATCATGTCCTGAACCTGGTCTCTGTGTTCTGAGCTGTCCTTCCTTCTCGCAGGACTGAATGAACTCATCCCAGACAACCTACTCGGCATCTTTGATGAGAATGAGTTGGAGGTAAGTGTCTAGGGGCCACGTCGTCATGCTGAAGATGTTGGGGCCACACAGTCATGGTGAAGGCGAGCGTCAGGGGGGGCCACGCAGTCGTGGTAAAGGCAAGCATCGGGGGGGGCCACGCAGTCATGGTGAAGGG